TGCACATGTTGGAGGTGTGTGTTGGGGAGCGTGTTCAGGTGCCGGAGACTGTGCGTTGGGCGGCCACCGGTATTTATAGTTCGTTGTTTTGGAAGAACGGTGGGAGCGTGGGTGAGCAGGGTAGTGTTTGTAATTTGAGTGGTTGAGTGGAGACGCGAGTGGTGTTGTGTGGTGTGAAATTTTGAATGGAGGGACGAGGTGGGTTTATGAAGTGGAGAAGAGTGGGTTTGTGTGTTGGTTGGAGTGAAGTTGAGAAATGGAGGAAGTGGTTTTGCAGGGATTTGTGGCGTTTGCTTGGGAGTGTTTGGGCGTGGGGGGGAGCATGGGAAGAGGCGACTGTGCTGACTTTGATTTGCCAGGGCGTGCCGCGGAAGGGTGTTTTGGCTGCAAGGGTGGGAGTGATACGGTGTGGGTATACGTGTTGCTGGTGAGTGTGCTGTGCGCGTGTATGCAGCAGCAGTGGCGTAGAGGTAGAGAGGAAGTTGCGGAATTGGTGGGCGTGTTTGGTAGGGGATGATTTGTAGAGGGGATCCTCGGTGCGTTGACGTTGCAGTGGTGATTGGGGGCTGGCGGAATAGCGTCTTGCGGCAAAATCCTTGCTAGGAAAACATCGATTTCGTAAACGTCCGAGTAGGCAGTATGCAGTGTGTGCTTCAGCCAATCTCAAGTTGGAGGGGCGGGCGGAGTGGTCCTGGGGTGAACAAGGCCATGCCCATGCGATCAGTGCTCAGTAGGGCTTATTAAAGGGATAGACCTGGCGTGCCTTGGACGGTTTGGTCCATGGATTAGTCAGATAATGAGCAAGTTACTGACAGTGGTATGTTCGGATGAAAGAATGCCTTCCAAGCATGGGAAGCGTCTATTTTCTGTTCAGGAAGCGTTTGCTGATGGGTCGCGAATTTCGAATTGTGTGGTTTCTTCTGAGGCCATCTCATCCATTGCATTTTCGGGAGAGAAATGGGGGAACTTGCATGCGCATGTGAAGAAAATACCTTGGTGCAAAAACCTTGCAAGTTTGCTCCGCGCGAATTATCTCCGAGACGAGTGCGGGCAAAGTGCTCTATATGCCGTTGTAAAGGGCCCATGGCAGGCGCATGGAACATGCTGAACGACAGCTGAGCGGTTGCGGCGATGGACTTCATGTGGTGGGCAATACGGAACCTTTGGTATGAGCATCAAAGGTCTATTGTTGAGGCTCTCAACGATTTTTCGTAGGCCTTACACGAGTGGAATTAGTGCTGGACTGACACGGAGGGCTACAAGGGGGGCTCTTTGGCACGCATGCCACACAATTGCACGGGAACTGGTTGGGTCATGCATTGTTTTTACAGGAGGCCTAGAAGGTATGTGGAGATGACACATACTGCGCCCTTTGTGGGTCTGCATCTCCAAAAGGAGAGAGAGAGTTTTGATGATGTTTTAGGGGGAGAATCGGGCAGAGGCAAAGACGAAAACGCTGCCTGCTGGCAACCATCTCTCTCGGCCATTATGCCAGAAACACTCAGCTACGGCGTATGTGTGTTTGAAGACAAACGAATTAGTGGAATTTGTAGGGTAGGGCCCTCTGCGTGGAATAGACAAGGATGCAATGCGCGCAAAATGTTCATCTATATTTGCAGTGTTGCTTTGCTATCGAAAAGGGTTAACGGAGAAACCTTGCGAGAGGAGCTACAGGGTGGTTGTAGGGGATGCCAGGTTTCTGTTTCTGCCTTCGCAAGTGGCGAACGCTTCGGCAGTCTAGACAGCGTTGTTGGTAGATGTGCTGGTCTCTTCACGTGAAGTTGGAAGAGGGGGTAGTATTGTGCTTTGGTACTGACAGGACAGGGATGGTTTTCTTACAGATGGCATGTGGCATGGCTTTTACAGAATCGCCTGGGGACATTGTGGCTATGCTTTTTACAGCTCCAGGCCGCGTGTAGAAGCTGCGCATGCGCTTCAGTGTGGATGTGGCGCGGCAAAATGTTGCACGCCTTTGCGTAGAAGCTGGACCGAAGCACAGGTGTAGTTATATTCGAAACAATGCAGAAATGTGGTTGATCAGGCCAGGAACGTTGGAGACTCTCACAGTTTGGCTGCACTAGAGGCGCCCTGAGCTGTAGCATTGTTGCAGCCCTCGAAATGTTGAGGAAGCGTTCCTGAGGGTGCAAGCGCGCCTTTCACTGAGAAATACGAAGCGATACAGAGACACAGCGGGCTGTGTCTGGCTGTGCTGGTCGGAATGAAACGTTAGTAGGGTTCGTTTGTGAACCCGCTGCATGTGGGTATTATATATGCATTTGCCTACGAAGGGCCGTACTGTTGTGGTCCCTACAGATTTGCATGCGTAACCCAGTAAACAGGATGCCGTGATGGGAATTGCTTACAAGAACTGGCTTGAGAAGGAATTTGGAAGCTGCTCAGCAGTAGATTTTGTGTATGGAAAATCTTTGTTGGTATGTGAAACGGTATGACCGTTGCACTGAGTGTCCATGGAGTAACGGTGAATGAGCAAAGGTTGAACGATTGTGGAAAAAGGATTGAAGCATTGCATGGCGGCACAGTTGTTTCTGCCCTTCTTCAGGCGGATGAAGTGAGTGCTGATTGGGTCAAGATAACAGGTGTAAACGGTGGACTCGCAGCTGTTAGATGAAATCAGATTACAGCGTGGAGTATGGGTGTGTGTGCACGTGATGATGAAGACGGAAAGTGCGGCTCTAGAGCAGAAGTTGGGAGTGGTAGGTGTGCGTGTGGTAATGTAGCACACTGCTGTGTGTAGGCAGAAGCGCTGGAATAAGCAGTCTGCTAGTTGACATTTTTATATCTCTTTTCGTGGGCGTGGGCTCGAACTGCGATTTGTTCACTTGAAGGTGCGTGGTGCCGTCCAGTGTGGCTCTGCGTGCTGTTTGGCAGTCGCACCAGAATCTGATAGGTCGCCCACGCCCGGTGCAAACTTGAACCCGCAGGGAGTACGACGACTGCGTACTTGGGAGTGTGCAGAGATTTGAGCTTCCCAGGGCAAATCCCGACTGCATGAACACATGAACTTGCAGAGTGAACGAGTTTGTTTCGCTGCGCAATGGCTGTGCATCAGCTATATGCAGTATCGGGTTGACGTGGGTTCCCGAGGCATATCGAGCGCTCGGCACCTGTTCGTGAGCTGGGCAACTACTTACGTTGACTATGCAGAACAGGCGTTCGCTGTGGTTTGGGGGAGAGCTTTGCGTTGGGCTCTTCTTTATCTGTACGTCGCCGCCTGCTGCTACCATAGAGTTTGGTTTGAGGCTGGAGGGAAGGAAATGTATTGCACGTTGTCCTTTGCTCCCTCGTTGTGTTTAAAGCCCCGCTGGTGCACCTGGGGCAAGTGCATTTACGCTGCTTCAGTGGTCCTAATAGCTGCTCAGGAACTCCACTGGCTCGGGTAGCTCGGTGAGTAAACGGGAATTGCTGCAAGCACGGGAAGAAGCTGGTTTGTGCGTTAAAACGTGCGACGTCTGAATCAGTAGTGGAAGAAAGACACACACATAAATGTCTTTCCAGGGAGCGAGTCATTAGATCCCCTTCCCGACTTGCTGTCGGCGGCAACCCAGCAAGTCGCTTAATTTGCGTCACCTGTAGATATTCACGCGCCTCAACTTCTCATGAGAAGTTGCACCGCAGCCGCCGCCCGAAATCCCTGAATGTAGGGGTGTCTTGATGCGGCGGATCTGCCGCATTGCAGCCTTCGCTTGGCTTTGCATTGCGTAATCAAGAATAGTAGGAAGCATGTGCATTCCAATAGTACAAACAGTACTATCCGTGTTATTCACGCTCCGCTTCACCTGCTGTGACGCTACGCCCAACCACACGCTTGCTGCCTCAGCAGCAGGAGCTCTAGGGCATTAAATAACGACCAACAGGCTCAGCCTGGATTTGAAATGAGCCTGGACACGCACACCTAGCGCAAAAGGAACAGGGTGCTTGTCGTTACATATTTGTTTTAAATACTGGGCGGTCCTCGTCTCGACACACTTCGAACAAGAGGAATAAGTCAACAGAACAGTAGTGGCTCATTCGATAGGTTGTTCCAGATGTAGTTCCAGATGGATAAGCAGCATACGTCCTGTAGGGACAACCACACAGCTAAGTTGCTGCTTTTTGTCTCCCTCACTGTATAAGCGCAGCATCGTATACACGGCCGGCCTTGCTGAGCAGCAGCAGCAGTGACCGGCTTCCGTAACTTGAGTTCTATCCATAGTCAAGCAGCAGGGTTTTCTAGTGTGTTCGAGGCGCACAGCCTTATCGAGTAGCTGTACTGACAAAATACCAAAATGAATAGAGCACGCGCGAGAAGAAAAACGACAGCCAAGGCTGCAAGTGCGAACGTTCACATTGGCCCTAACGACAGTGGCAGCGAACTCCCACAATGCTACAAAGAGGGTTCCCCAGCATGCATTCATTCGCATGAGGCTTCCGTTTAAGTGTGCAACATTGCGGCCTTCTGTACTGTATGCACTGCAAGAGTAAGCAGCAATCCTTAACTCCTCTGCCCCTTGCTCCACCAGAAGAGCAGCAAACATTGTGGGCGCTTCTCATTTGCCTTCATAGTGGTATTCGTTCAGAAGGCCTAGTCAGCACGCAACCAGCTGCAAAACCAGCTGCAACGCCGAGAATGGGCGGTGCAGGAAGCCAGCTACTGTTGCCGGCGCTCTCGTGGCGTGCGAAATTCTCTGAGCCACGGATGCTGGAGAGCCTCCCGAGGCGTCATGCGGTCGTCGGCGTCCCACCGCAGACATCCTGGGAAGATGAAGAAGACAGTGCACAGCACAACACACGGCGGATGGTGTTCGTGCACAGCAGCTGCAGGTGCAACGCCCAGAAAGAACAGGAGCCTGCTGTTCTGTGTGTATGGATGCTGATCAAAGGGCACGCGGTGCGCGTGTGCACAAGTACTCACCTTTAAGGAAGTCTACAAAGGTGCTTTCTGCAGGCTCGACTGCATCTTCAAGAGTTGCGCAGCACGGCGACCCGCAGGAGCTGGGCGTCTCAGAGATCCGTTTGCAGCAGCGAGAATTCAGAAAGGAAAAGCCCCCTTGTGCGTTCCGTTCGAAGAAGACTGGAGACCTTGGAGAGCGCAAGATCAAGTCCGTGGGAGGGAGGCCCAGCAACGACGCAATTGTTTGCAGCTGATCCTCCTCGTCCACCCCAGGAAACAACGGCGTGCCTGTATGCAGCTCCGCCAGGACACAGCCCAAAGACCACATGTCAATGGGAGGCCCATAGGGGAGGCCAAGCAAAATCTCGGGGGCCCTGTAATATCTCGACTGTATGTACGCGTTGTGCTGCTGGCGGCCTTCCCTGCAGCTGCTGCCGAAGTCAATCAACTTTACGGTGCTCTTGCGGCCCGTCACCAAGGCGATGTTCTCGGGTTTTAAATCGCAGTGAACGACTTGCGCCTTCTTCAACAACCGCAGCGCCTGCAGCAGCTGTATTGCCAGGCTGCGCACGGCCAGTGGCGCAAACCCCCGGAACTTGTTGGCCTTCAGAAAAGAATACAGATTGTGGCTGAGCAGCTCAAAGGTAAGGACTAAGTGCCCACGAAACATGTGGCTTTCCCGCAGCCGCACGATATGGGCCTTCCCAGCCCTGTCCAGAGTAGACAGGTGCTGCAGCACGTTAACTTCTTCTCGCCCCTGGGCATGAAAGTTGCTTTTGTTTTTCAAGATTTTCAAAGCCACTTCCTCGCCAGTTTTGTGGTCGAACGCTCGGAATACGCGGCCAAAGGAGCCCGTTCCAAGTGGCTGCAGTAGCTGGAAACGATAGCAAATGTGATCATTTACAGAGACCACATAATCCCCTTGCTCGTCGCAGAAATAGCTGCATGCGCTGTTGCTCGTCCTGTTTATAAGCTGCCGGTTGCTCTTACTCATCATGCTGCTCCTGCTGCTATTGTTACAACCCAGACCTCCAAACGCAGCGTTTTCCCATCCTCCACCCAAATCAGCCTTAGATGCTGCTGGGTCGTTCACACGACTGGGCGAACCGCACATGGCCGTCGCCAGACCCCGACCTCCAGCAGCAGCAGCAGAAGCAGCAGCAGGTGTAAATGGGCCCCCGTACATCGCTGCGCGCTCAGTGCCTGCTGGCCTCTCCCTTAAAGATCCCCAGTACCAAACAGTCGGGTATTCGAGGACTTCGCTGCGTTCCCACGGTGTCAGTTGAAAAGAAAATTGCTGCAACACTGCAGCGGATGACAGAGGAGGCGACCCCTTGGTGACACCTTCCGCTGCATCTTTTGCTGCTGCGTATTGCTGTGACGTTGCCCCTAGATATCCCGTTACAGTTCTTGTTGCTGCTGTTCTTGGGCCCCGTGCAGAGGCCGATCGCCCAGATGACCCCCGCACGCCTCTAGTGTCCTTGAGGGGAGGATAGGCTGGTCGATTCACCGGCTTACGCGGCATTCCCTGCTGCTCCTCCTTTAGCTGCTGCTGCTCCGCATCAACTGCCTCTACTACTGGGGAGCGGACATAGTATGCGCTCCCGATAGACGCATCCCCTGCGGGAGATACACGTCCATGGCCCCTCGGCTCTCCTGTTTCTACGCGCAAGGGTCGGGTCAAAGACAGGGACTGTAAAGCTGCTGCTGCGTTGCTTCGTGCTGATGCAGTGTGTTGAAGATCTGCTGACTCCTGAGATCGTGCTGTTCCTGCTGCTGCGAGCAGTTCCCTAGGATACAACGAGCGTGCAGCAGCAAGCGACAGCTGCCGCGTAATGCGCAGGTGATGCGGCAGCACCTTCTTGACAACTCGGCTACCTGCCAATACTGTTGTTGCAGCTGGCGCTACCGCTGCATTTGGTGCTGTTGCTGCAGTCAGTGCTGCTGCTGTTCCAGCTGGTGGTGGTGGTGGTGGTGCTTCTGCTGTACTCGATGCCGTCGAATCGCTGCCACCGTACCTTGCTGTCGGGTGCATCAAACTTCCCTGATATGTGTGCTGCGGCTGCTGTAGCTCCCTTCGCTGCTCCTGCTGTAGCGCTATCAGCCAATCGACAACGCGTGCGTTCTTGTGTACTGGACTCCTCGTTGTGGGAGCTCCTGCGGGTCCTGGTGGCGACCTCGCAAGCAACGAATGGCTCATGTCTATTGTTGTTGCTGCTGCTGCTACCGCTTCTGGTGCTGCTGCTTCCTCTGCCGTTGCCTCTTCTTCTGCTGCCGTTTCTGCTGCAGCTGCTGCAGATGTTGATTCCGCTGCTGCAGCTGCAGCCGTTGCTGCTGCCTCAGGTGTGCACGCGGCAGCTGCAGCAGGTGGAGATTGCAGGCTCTCCCCTGCGCCACAATCTTCGTCGCCTGACTCTTCAGCTCTTAAAGTAGATTCAAATAGGTTCGTTGGTGCTAGCCGGCTTGTGCTGCTGCTGCTGCTACTGCAGCTGCTGCGATCTCTTGTGCTGCTGCTGCCTTCGACTGTAATTGCTCCCCAAGTAATAGAGTGGCCTTCAGACAGTTGTTGCTGCTGCTGCTTCAGGCAACATACGACAGCCGCCTCCCTATCTTTTGCTGGTGCCGCTGCAGAGTCTCTCACTACCTGGTTATCTCCAGCTGACTCCCCAGCTGTCGCGAGGGCTTCTGCCTCGCTGCCGCTGCTGCAAGAGCGAGAGAACTGCAGCACCAGCTGGTGCTGCTGTGGCTGCAGCTCCTGTGTTGGCACGTCTTCTGGAGATACAACAGATAAGAAGGATTCAATGCTGTAAAGGTTGCACTGCTGGTCAAGGGAGAGCGCCATATCGTGTCGCTCTTGTTGTTCCTGCTGCATCTGCCGTTGCTTGTGCTGCTGCTGCTTCTCGTGCTGCGGCTTCTCTTGCTGCTGCGGCTGCTCGTGCTGCTGCGGCTGCTCGTGCTGCTGTTGCTGCTCGTGCTGCTGCTGCTGCTGTGCGAACGTCGAAGATGAGCACCCGCCATAAGAAATCACAGTCTCAGTATTGCACATGGAGTTGCCTGAGGCGTCGCCCGTGCCTACATATTCATTTGTACGGCTGGACATTACGCGGACAGCACCACCGTCAGCAGCGGCAACGGGAAGAGAAGCAGCAGTAGCAGTATCAGTAGCAGTAGCAGTAGCAGCAACAGCAGCAGCAGTAGTGGTAGTCATAGTCGTAGTAGCAGTAGTAGTAGTAGTAGTAGCAGTACTAGTAGTAGCAGCTGGAGTAACCCCAGGTCGCTCTCCCCACTTGCCCAGGAGCCGCGTCCATGTGGTCTCAAATGCTTTCCTTCGCACAGGAACTGCGCCACCTTGCTGCTGCTCCAGCTGCTGTAGCTGCTGTTCCTGCTGCTGCTGCTCTCTCGCTCGTTTCGGTGCCTCTTCAGCTGTGAACTCTGTCCCCCCCTCGCGCAACCGCAGCTCCTGGCAGCGCTGCTGCTGTTGCTGCTGGTTGTGCTGCTGGTGCTGTTGCGTCGTCTGAGCGCTGCATGGTGGCGGGCGTCTTGGAAAGGAACGCAGGGCTAATGCAGCAGCAGCTGCTGCTGCCATAAATTTGGGCTTGCTCCTCACATTACGTGGTTGTTTTGTCTGCTGTTGCTGTTGCTGCTCCTCCTGTTGCTGCTGTTGCTGTTGCTGCTGCTGCAGGCGTTCCTGAAGTATGTGCACTTGGAGCTCCTTCTGTCTATGGGAGGCAGAAGTAGGTTGCTGCAGCAGCAGCATATTTGCTGCTGCGGAGGCTTCTAGGCATTCAGCTCCTGAGGAAAGAGGCGTGAAGCAGCAGCTGCTGCCCATCGAGTCGCTGCAGCTCGACTGCATTTCCCTTCCAAGTCCCTCTATCTTCCAAGCGCGCACTGGTGCCGCCGCCTTCCCCATGGTGCGGCTTCGTCTACTGCTGCCGCTGCTGCTGCTGACACTGCTGCTGCTGCTGATACTGCTGCTGCTGCCTCGACTTCCATCCCTTGCGGCGAGTCGGCCAAGCTACTGCTGCGTTGCAGCCGCAGCTCAGGCAAAAATTCAGATGCAACAGCTGCTGGAATCACCGCTCCTGTTTGGGATTCTCCCTAAGATTCCGACCTTCCCGCAAGACGAAAACTACGATAGCCTTGATGCCCCTGCTGCTACTGCTGCTGCTGCTGCTGCTTGAAGCATCACCACTCAGGTACCCGCATACAATGCTAGGCCTTCCTGCTTTGCCCCAAATTTCAGGCACCCGTATTCTACACTAGGCAACTCTGCTTTGCCTCAAAACAATGTAAACACGCGCAGCGCCAGCAGCACACAGCAGCAGCAGCACCAGCAAGAACCGAGAGCGACGAGAAGACACTCCGGTTTGCTGCATGAGGCGCTGCTGCTCAAATCCCGCACCTCCAGGTATTCAATAGCAGCTGTCCAACTCCCTCACTGTTTAACAAAGAGCTCAAGGCCCTGCTGCCTCTGCTTCAGTATCTACTGCTGGTTGCCGTTGCTGCTCTCCTTGCCTCTACAGCGCCTCAGTGTCTAAGCGCCGCAGGTCAAGGCGCCCCGTGGGTTCTAGAAGAGCAGAAGAACGCATACAGCTGTGGCTTGCTACACAACAGTAGCAGCAGCCACAACAGCAGCCGCAGCAGCAACGCAGCTCCCCGGCTCACTGGCGGGGCGGCGTTGCTCTAAGCTGGCTGGGAAACAACTAGAAGTCAATAACAGATCCCATTTGTAGCAGAAGCAGCAGCTGCTTCTGCTGCTGCAGGTGTGTGCCTGCTGCGCCGCTGCAGCGTCGATCCGCAGCAACAGCAGCAGCGGGGGCTTGAGTGACCTGTCCTGCGCAATGGAGATGACGGCTCGCAGCTGCTGCCGTTGAGCGCAACGAACTAGAATAATATAAAGCAGTATATTCAGTGAAAGTCTTTGTCTTCAAGAAAGGCAAGTAAGCAGCTCGCACGCCACTGTCTTGCATGTAGCCTGCCCTAGGGGCTCGTGCAGGCTTCTGCTACTCCTGATGCTGCTGCTCATAGTAGTGAGACTAGAGCTCACCTTTGGCCAGATTCCTCCCCTGCTTATAATAATACGAGTAAGGCTGCTACAAGGAACAAGAAACACCCGCGTGCGCCCCGCTGCTGCTGCTGCTGCTGCTGCTGGTCCAGCAGCAACAGGAGCGAGTGCAGGCGAGCAAGCAGAGCGTCGCCGCTACGGCTTTGCAGCCTTCTAGTATAAGCATGCGGCGTACCGTATAATATTCCCTTCCTTGTTTTTGTATGAATACTGATGCACCTGTTCGTGCTTCACTGTTATCGTAAAGCTGTAGATGAGACGAGGCAACAGCAACAGCAGCAGGAAGCAGCATGTAGGGGTGTGCGGGTGGTTGCTTACGTTCTGCTATGGAGGGTTTTTGTCGAAGGTAGAGCAAGTAGAGTCTTTCTGAGCAGCAAAAGCAGTTGAAGGAGCCTGCTGCAGCGTCGGTGGGTAGCTGCTAGTGCTCATTCTGCTTCTACTGATAGTACTTGTCTGCTTGGTGGTGTCCCTACGTTGAGGATTGTTCAGTACCAGGCAGATCTTGCTGCTGCTATTTTGGAATTCGGTGTTTTTGTTAGTACAGCGTGTGCTGTCGCTGTGCGCTTGTTGCTGCTGCAAGAGCTAGGTACCACTTGCCGAGCCGCCTTCGAACGCAGGTGGTTCTGCTGCGTTGTTTTGTTAGAGGTTCTTCTTCGGCTGTTCAGAGCTCAACAACAGAAACAACAGAAGCAGGCTTGCCCCTTGGCGCTCTGTAGTGAGGGGCCTTTGCCTTTCTTGGGGACCGCAGCGAGCTGCAGTTTGCTCAAGGGGGAGCTCCCGCAAAGCAGCTAGCCTCCCCTTTATTCCTTTACTCCCCTGGGGTCCTGCGTACAGAGGCACAAGAGCCGGGGGCTGCTGGGAGGGAATGGAGGCCTTTCATGAGCTCCCACGCACCTTGTTACGACTAGCTGCTGTAAGGCAGGCCGGCAGGCAGGCACACCTAAAGGACCAGTGCTGCATGCAGTGAAAATGTAGAGTTGACAAACGCTCACCTGTCACTTCATAGCCCAGCCCAGCCCGCTTTCAAGTAGGGAGGAGCACACGGACAAACCTCACAAAGAGCACTCTACAAGTGCCTCCCCCCGCCACTCACCAAATCGTTTATGATGCATTGTATACCATTAGATTGGATTGGGTGCCGCTTTTTGAAGGGGACACCCCAAGCTCGCTAAAACGATAAACTGCGCTAACATTGGCGCATAGCATCAGTACACGCGTGGAAATCGGTTAGGTGAGCTTAACAATGGGGGTATAAGCTCCAGACGTTTCTGGTAAACGAAGAGGAACTGTTGGCGAGGCCGTGCTAGCCATAGGTAGCCGAGTGCATTAGATCTAGGCAGAAGGACAATTAGCAAAGACGAGTACGTAAACACAAAGATATGAGAGCTCGTCGAGCTGAAATCTGGTCTAATTTATGCTGCGCTTCGTACGCACACGCTTACAGTCGTTGCCGCTGACTCGAGAAGGGAAGACAGATTTTTTTGAGAAATTTCCCCGCAAAACCGATCCTTAGAAGTCCATTCAAGTCGCCGGTTGTTCGGATATCTAAAATACTATCCCCGTTTTCTCCGCTCTTTGCGAGTCGCTATAGGCGTGTTATATCATGCTCTGTCCGAGGCTGGCGCCTGTACTTGTACTTGTATGCAGGCTGCCTACTAAGGACGAAGGAAGTGTTCAGAAATTGTCGCCTGTGTTAATGCACGCAACAAAGAGGGCTTCGCTGTGCTATATGTGGTGTTGCCTTGCAGCGCCAGCCGGTGCAAGGCATGCTGCAGCCCATCTCAGTCAGCTTCCTCTCGCACCAGCCGCAGCTCCTCTAACCGCTGTGCACAGGACGCCTGGGAACACAAGGGGAGTCTAGGCCCTATTTTTTTGAGAAGTCTTATCCTGCTTCTCTGGAGTCCATTGCTGACCTTTTGCTATGATTGACGACCATCGTTACATGCGTCCAGGATTTCAGTCTCCTCCAGTTGTGTTCTCTTGGAAAAACTTGGCTGGCATAGTATGGAGAGAATTCGGTGGGTATTTGTTGATTCCCTGAACCGTTTTGCAAAGCCAAAATTAATGGTATTGCGATGTCTTAATGCTGGGGGTAACTTGAGCATGCAGTCCAACGCTTTGACCCAATAACCATCAACGAAAGGGCAAACCCAATCCACTGCGAACCACTTTGGCTGCTCGCTCGGCTGCGTGATTCGAAGAGCGCGCGAATGCACTAAGAGCTGTAGCTACAGGTGCAGCTAAGGCAGTCTCCTTCGGGCGCAAAAGAGGCGCAGCAACAGTGAATGCTGAACGCCTTTTGCGTTTCGTATCGTGCATTCCTACGCTACTGCAAGCTATGTATGGAAATCGGCAGCTGCGAGCGTACCTGGTTGGTTTCCAACAGCCAAGTCTAACGTCGAGTCAGACGACGGTTTCGGCACAGACCATGAAGGCAAGTGTAGAGTGGATCGAAGAGCCGGCCTTTGTATTACAAGCCCATCCCGCACAAGGGTGGACAACAAGCCGTGTTGACGAAAATTGCTGGGTATAGAGTCGTAGAAGCTGCGGTTGCTCCGTTCAGTATGAGCGTCTGCCTCCGGGGTGTTCGCTTTGGTGCGCTTCGGGTCGGTTGTAAGCCGCTTTATGAATTCGTGCGACAACCCGTTAACGAACTTCGGGTCCCTGCCATGACGAACATGCTAACGCAACCTCTAATTAGTGGCATGCCCACGGTGAAATTCTCTGAGTTATGCTACCGCATCTGTTTGGGGACCGGACGGCTCTGCAAGGAATCTTGTATGAAGGCCCCCCGCGGCTATTGCTGCGGTCGCTCCGCATAAGTGAGGGATACCCTTACACTGAAGGGAACATCCTAGGCCACAAAAAAGAACCGGGCAGCCGATGCACTGTTGTGTAGGCGCCACTATGGTCACGTAAAGCATGGCTGTAAGTGACAATTGGCGGCAAATTCTTGGGCCAAACTAAGCTGCAGCGTATAATAAACGAGCTCCTCATGCAGGCTTCTTCTTCTGTCGCTGTCCACGAAAATTGTATGTTATTCCTGAGAGGGTCCCTTAGAGGGGCTGATATGAAAGCGAAACTAGGGAGTAAGTTGAGTAGTACGATGCGAAGCCTAGAAGCTTCTGAGCATTCGTGCGAGTGTTCAGTGTTGTTTCTCGAGTTATCTAGCTCTTCTTGTACACCTGGAATCTAGAGTTCTGGGACTTTCATTGTGAAAGCCGCAGACAAACCACGTTGGGGGTTGAGGTTCGCTGCTCGCGTGCCCCGATGAAAATGATTTTCTACCAAGTGTACCGATGGTCCTCGATCTTTCCTAGGGGCCGTTGCGAACTGCAACAGTGTTTAAAGACTTCTCATAGAAACTCCCCCAAAGCAAAAAGCAGCACCTCCAGTTTTTGGGGGTCGTCTGCGCAGCGGCAACAGGGACTAGGGCTGCAGCGGAGGAGAATACGGCCTGTTATGAATATGACGTTGCCGTGTGCAAGCAGCGCCAAACGCCTTTTCCGGTGCCTTTCCTCGCATTCTAGGCGCTTGTTGAACACTTGTTTGGCCCTCAATAGGCAGCTTCCGTACAATGAGAAGCACATGCATCTACAATAATAGCCAATCAGGGAATAAGTAGAGGCACACGTACCAACTTCCCGCAGACATGCTCGGTGCAGATGAAGAGGATTTGGATATTAGGTGCAGTGCGAGCTTCTAAGCGCTTCCTCTTCCTCTGCACGTATACATGGAAACGCCAGAGGCGCATAGACGTTCAGAGACTGCTGCTGCTGCTGCTGCACCAGCCAAGTTCGCCATCCGCTGCTGCTGCAGCGCCACCAGCAAACTGGTGCAATCGGAGCCGCTGCACTCGTAGCTGCTCAACATCTGCTGTGAGGGGTCATGTTACTGATACACCCCTGAGTTGGGTCTTGCGGCGCATGCATACGTCGGGGCTTTGCATCTCCGTTGACTGGAGCCTCAGGGAAGGCAGTGCTCGCTGGATTGTCTGTACACCTCCGTAGCAACGCATGATACAACAGACCCTGTTAGTTCTGGCACCATCAATATCTACCGGTTCCCCACCATGACGGCAAATGTTTGCTGCTCGTGCTGAAGTCTCTGCTACGGCTGCAGCGACGTACGGCAGTGTTGTTTCTGCAGCAGCAGCAGAACCCGAAACCCTTCCTTTGAAGCAGCATCAGGAAAAGCTACAACTCAGTCAAGCCTTCGACAACAGGACAACTTCATAATCAACAACACCAACAGTCTCTCCTCCACATCGGGTTGATGACGTAACGAGTCAAGGATATGGAGATCAGCGCCTGGCTTTGTCTGTTCCAGCCCTCTTGCCTCTGTTTTCGTGCTTATCTCTGTCTGTAAGTGCTGGTATCCGTATGCTTCCTACCCCCCCTTTGTCTTTGTTTTTGTCCTCCTGTTTCTATGTCTCTGCCTTTGCTTGTTTGTCTCTGTCTCTGTCGTTCCATGCCTTTGGTGTCTTTGTAGGTCTCTTCGTCTCTCTTTGTCGTTATGTTCCTTTCTGTCTGTCTTTGTGTGAATGCCTTCGTCGTCATCTGAGGTGTATGATCATAAACCCTAGAACTGTCTCTTTATTTTCTGTCTCTGTCTCAGTATGAATTTCCATACATTCTCAATCTAATCCCCAATCCTTAACCCTACGCCCTGGACGTGAAATCCTAAACCCTAAACCCTACACCCTAAACCCACTGCGGTAGAGGTGGTAGAGGTGGAGTGTCTACAAGAAGACCCTAACGTAGAAATGTAGGAAAAGGAGCAAATAAAACATTAGCAGAAACAGCAGCAATTGCTGTGGCCCCTGCTGCAGCAAGTGCTGCAGCAGCAAACAGCTGATATACAGGTAGCACAACCAAGCCCTGTATTCATGCATCTCCTAACTACAAACATTCTGTTGTTGTTGCTGCTGCTGCGCTGACAGGTCAGCTGACGGGGACTACCCTTGACCCCCCTCTGTGGTGATGTGCATTGGCACTACTACTGCTGCAGTCAAGCTTTTGCTGAGGGGAAACGTTATGAACCCAAAGAAGGGAGAGCGACACACAGGGCACTTCTCCTGGTGCAGAGCCTGGAGACACTCTAGGCACAGAGCGCAGTGTCTGCAGCAACAACACAACCCCGCAGCAGCAGCAACACGCAGCAGCATCAGCAGCACACAGATTTGCGTACGCATGCATGCGCAGCACTACATAAGAAAGCAAGCCACAGCAATAGCAGGCAAACGAAACAGCAAAATATAAAAAGGCGCCCACCAATAGAACCGGCAACAGCAAAAGCTGCTGCAACAGCAGCAGCAACGATACCACAGAGGCCACACCAGCAGCAGCACCTCCAGCAAAAGCAATAGAAGCTGTAGAAGTTGCATCAGCACAACTAACTGCAGCTGCGGCAGCAGCAGCACCACCAACAAAACCAGCAGCAGCAGCTGCTGCAGCATCACCACCAGCAACAGCAGCTGCAGCAGCAAGACCAGCAGCAGCAGCAGCAGTAGTAGTAGTAGCAACTCTGCACCTGCAAGGGTATAATACAACATTTTTTGGGTTAGTCATACAGACGAGACACTCTAAGTCGAGCGCCCCGCTGCTGCTGCTAACTCCAAATATGTCTCCTTTCTCCTGAGGCCTCTCTAAGCTGCCTCCTGCTAGCAGGTGTCTGTACACCTCATAGCGGTGCGAGACGTAGCAGGAAGGCAAAGGCGCTGCTGCTGCTGCTGCTGCTTCTGCTGCTGTGAGACGCGATCTGCTGCTCGTCGATGGAGGAGGAGGAGGCAGCGGCCGACACCGCAGCAGCAGCAAATGGCAAGAAGCCTGCAAACACAACCAACACCCTGAAAATCTGCACTGCAGCGGCATCAACAGCTGCAGCAGCAGCAGCAGCAGCATGCGCTTCTGCTGCTGCCTTCGCAGCTCAGGCAGCAACAGCAGCAACAGTGCCTGCAAACTTGCAGCGCATATGGAGAGCAGCAGGATGAAAGTGCATGCAATAGCAGCAGCCGCAGCAGCAGCAGCACAAGGCAGCAGCAGTTGCACCAGCGGCAGCCGCGAGACCAGCAGCAACCCCAGCGGCTGCAGCAGCAGCTGCAGCAGGAGTAGCAGCAGCAGCAGCAGAAGCAGGTGCAGCAGGAGTAGCAGCAGCAGCAGCAGGTGCAGCAGGAGCAGCAACAGCAAAATGGTTCGGCGCGACAAACCTCTCCCTTGGTCTGCATGTGCTGCGAGACCTGCGGCTCCTTCTCCCCCTGACAGACAAACCCAAAGTATGTCAGCAGCAGCAGCAGCAGCTCAACAGGAGCAGCGTGCATGCACTGCACTCAAGCGGCACTATACCAATGAAGACGGAAGGCTAGAAACCCCAAAGAGACACCGCAATTACGCGCATGCATCAATTATGCCGCCGCCGCTGCTTGCTGCTGTGGCTGCTGCTGTCGCTGCTGCTAATGCCGTTGCCGCTGTTGCTGCCGCTGCTGCTACTGCCGTTTTTGCTGCTGCTGCTGCTGCCTTACCGGCGAAGAACCAACAGACGCAACTATAATCAAAGGGAAGACAGCCTCTGTGTATGGAGACACCCGACCCGGTGTATTATCCTGCAGCAGCAGGAGCAGCAAGAGGAGCAGCAAGAGGAGCAGCAGCAGCAGCAAGAACAGAAGCGACAGCAGCAGCAGCAACAGCAACGGCAAGGAGTTTGCGTCTTAGGGGGGATGAGGGTTATCCAGCAAAGCCTAACAAACCACCAAACTATTTTGTTTAGGTGAGGGCTTACGGTTTAAGCTCTATACCCTACTTAGGGTTTAGGGTTTAGGCGAGGGTTTAGAGTATAGGGGAAGGCCTAGAGTATCGGCGAGGGTTTAAGGCTCAGGCAAGGGTTTAGGGATTAAGCGAGGGTTTAGGGTTTAAACGAGGGTTTAGGGTTTAAGCGAGGGTTTAGGGTTTACCCGATCGTGTGTGAAGAAGCGAAGGCGGTGGCCCCTCCCAGCAGGCACACTTAAAGCAACACACACAGGGAAAACCCTAGACCCTAAACCCTAAACCCTTGAAAGAGCTGGGGGCAGGGTCTTGAGAGAAGAGCAAAGCAGCAACAGCAAAGCCGCCGCAGAGCAACAAGAGGGACAACAGAAGAAGCAGCAGCAGCAGCAACAGTAGCAGCAGCAGCAGCAACAGTAGCAGCAGCAGCAGCAGCAATAGCACATCAGCACTTACATCTGAGGCGCAGACATGAGGCAGCAACCCTCTGGGCCCCACGGCATAGCCGAACTGTCGCAAACAAATGAAGCAGCGTTAATGCGACCTGAAGCAAGCAGCAGCAGCAGCAGCAGGAACAACAGCAGCAGCAGCACGCGCAACAAGAAAGAAAAGGGCTTCGGTGTCCTCCCGTGGATATGGCTCGTGCACCTGCAGCAAGAGCTGCTGCTGCTGCTGACGAAGGTGGTGCTGATGCTTACGGCTGCTGCTGCTGCTGCTGCTGTCGCTGCTGCTGCTGCTGCTTGGCAGCAGCCGCGCTAGTCGGCGAGCAGAGCCAGAGAGAAGAGATTCACAATCGCCGTTGTTGGTGCCTTTGAGCTGCCCAAGCAAACACCCAAACCCTAAACCCTAAACCCTAAACCCTAAGCCCTAAGCCCTGCAACTGCGGCTATCGTTAGCGTCTTAACGTCAAGAGGTGCGAGGGTTTAGAGCTGCAATGTTTAGGGTTTGCTACGGTTTTCGTATTCATGAAGGATGTGATATAGGGTTTTAGGGTTTAGTGCTGCAAGGGTTTACGGTTTAGGGTAGCAAGGGTTTAGGGTTTAGGGTTTAGGGTTTAGGGTTTACAAAGGCATCCATGGCTTTCTGTCCAACTCCCCAATACGCCCTGACTGCTGCTGTTGCTGTAGCATCGACAGAGACATCAAACCCTCCACCGGCAAGTGCAGCAGCAGCAGCTGCTGCTGCTGCAGATGTGGATGCAGCAGCAGCAGCAGCTGCTGCTGCTGCCGAGGAAGGGGTGCTGAGTAAGGCCTCCCGCTGCTGCAAGTTGCTGCTGGTGCTGCCGCTGCGGTCTCTGCGGTTGTTGCTGCTGCTACTGCTGTAGGCAGCAGCAATGGGCCTAAAGAAGCTGCTGTGGCTGCTGCTGTGAGCAGCAGCATCTGTTTGGTGCAGCAGCAAGAGTTCCTGCTGCAGTTCCTGCTGCTGCTGCTGCTGCTGCTGCTCCTGGTTCTCCGCTACCTCTCCTTGATTTAAAGGCAGAGGATCGTAGCAATACACCTGAACCTCTACTAGCGGCATTGCTGCAGCAGCAGCAGGTTTGTTGTGCTGCAGCAGCTTCGTGAAGTGAATTCGCATCAGCTGCTGCAGCTCTGAGCGGTAACGCCCGAACCCAGAAAGCAGCAACGCCTCCTGCAACGCAGCAGCAGCAGCAGCAGCAAATGAAATACAGGTCAATTCTCCGGACAGCTTCGCCCGAGCAGCACCAATGGAGGTGTCAAAGAAGCTCAGCAGTAGTAGCAGCAGCAGCAGCAAGAAGAAGAAGGAGGAGAGCAGCAGCAGCAAAATTTGCACCAGGAGAGAACATGCAGCAGCAGCGAGGGAGAACAGCAGCAGCAGCAGCAGAAGCAACAACAGCAGCAGCAACTTACTGGCTGCAGCTCAAGATGCTTCCGAATATGCAGCAACGAAAACAATCGGGGCAGCACATTCAGCAGCCAAGCAGCAAAGAGCAGCAGCAGCAGCAGCATCAACACGTTGTGGGCGCCAGGAGATAGCCCGACATCAGATATCAGGCTGTTACTGCCATTGCTGCTGCTGCTGCTGCTGCTGTTGCTGCTGCTGTTACTGCTGCTGTTACTGCTGCTGTTGCTGCCGCCGCCGGCAGCAGCTGCTGCCCTAGCTGCTGCTGCTGTTGGCGCTGCTGCGCCATCAGGCGACGCAACAGGAGCTGCAGCACTCCCGGAATAAGGGTGCAGCAGAAGCAGCAGCAACAGCAGCCCCAGGTACACCCCCCTCCTTGTTAACGGGGCAGCAGCAGCAGCACCTGCTGCTGCTGCAGCAGGTGCTACTGCTGCGCCGGCCATCATAGCGCAGAAGCTGCTGCAGCATCGGACGCGGTGCTGCAGCTCCAACTCTGCTAATATGCCTAAAAAGAAATTGTTGGAGAAGCTGTGTTCGGCAGCAGCAGCAGCAACAACAACAACAGCAGCAGCAGCAGCAGCAAGAACTGCTGCTGCTGCTGCTGCGGACGAAGGCGGGCAGACAACGCTGTCCTAAGATTTCAACAAAATTTTTTGTAAGTTTAATATGTTAAAGACTCAACGAAGAGACCAGCAAACGTAGCTGCACAAACAGCAGCAGCAGCAGCAGCAGCAGCAACAGCAGCAGCAGCAGCAGCAGCAGCAGTGACGCCTGCTGGAGCGGGCCCCAGAAAGCCAGAAGGCACTCCGAAGCGAGAACAAGGAAGCAGCCTTCAACAACAAACCCTAGCCCCTCCACCGTAAACCCTAAACCCTAAACCCTTAACTGCTTATATGTGTTTATAGTTGCTTGACTGTCTTCTTACTGTGTAGCGTCGGGGGCCCCTTGGGCCCTTGCGGGGCCCACAAACAAAACCCTAAACCCTAAACCCTAATCCCTAGACCCTAAACCCTAGAATTGAGACCCTCATGAGTTCCTTATTTGTTGGCTGGGAAGATGCAAAGGGGGAAGGAAGAGATGCCTATACACCTCAAACCCCCGCGGTGTACACCGAGATGCGCTTGCGAGTAAGCAGCAGCAGCAGCAGCAGCAGCAGCAGCAGCAGCAATCTGTCAGGGTGGGGTAACTGCCGTAGCAGCAACAGCAGCAGCAGCAAGCCCAGCGAAGGGGCACCGGCGGTGCTCAGAACCCTAAACCCTAAACCCTAAGCCCTAAGCCCTTGTGGTGCGTGTGGGGTCCTTAGGGTTTGCTGAAGACAGAAGAGGAGAAGGAGAAGTTGCTGCAGTACTGCAGCAGCACAGCAGACGTACACTGCGCCTCCAGCTGGACAGACATCACCCTACAAACAGCAGTTCAGGCTGTTGGTGAGGGTTTAGGGTTTAGGGTTTAGGGTTTAGGGTATCAGAGGTGGCTTCACGATTCGCTGATTCTGCATGCTACTTTGACTGTGCTTACGGGGGATTCATTTTTGCTACTGTCGCTGCTGCTGCTGCTGCTGCTGCTGCAGGGTGTATGGACATGAGGAAGCGAGCAGAGACACCTCAAGAGGTGACCCTGCGATGGTATACTGAGCCAGAGGGGATAAAAGACACTTGGTAAGGTCTAAACCCTAAACCCTAAACCCTAAACCCTAATCCTTAAACCCTAAACTTTAAAACCTAAACCCTAGAGTGGATTCGACGCCTTAAGGGTCTCTGCAGGGGCACATAACACGCGGCAGATACCGCAAACCCTAAACCCTAAACCCTTGGTTTTTCAGCCCCAGGCTTGCGAGTTCATTTAGGGTTTAGGGTTTAGGGTTTCTGGTGTCTGTACAGCGTGTTGTATTACGAAGACCAAGGCGTCTTAGTTGGGGGTTTGCATGCGCGAAAAGCTGCAGAGACAGCAAAAGTCTTCTCTACCCAAACTACACAAGCAATGAGAGGCCTGCTAAAGGCCCTAGGGTTTAGGTGAGGCCTAGGGTTTAGGGTTTGAGAGGCCTGCTAAAGCGTTTGGTCTAGGGTTTAGGTGAGGCCTAGGGTTTAGGGTTTGAGAGGCCTTCTAAAGGCCCTAGGGTTTACGTGAGGCGTAGGGTTTAGGGTTTGAGAGGCGTGCTAAAGCGTTTGGGCTAGGGTTTAGGGTTTGAGAGG